GATAGATAGATAGATAGATAGATAGATAGATAGATAGATAGATAGATGGATGGATGGATGGATGGACAGATGGATGGATTTCAATCTAATTGGTTTTGTTTGTAATTTAATGTATTTTATCTTATGCATACACAAACATGATTCTGAGGTGTCCATAGGTTTCACTAGAGATGGCCAAAGGGGTCCATTATGCAGAAAAAAAGATCGATAACTCCTTAACAAAGCATGAGATTGTAAAATAAAAAGATAACAAACATAGACCTTGACTGCTTTTAAGGACAGATAGGCTTCCTAACAACTGAGAATGGCCTCAGTTTACTGCAGATGCTTAATCCAGCACTAAATGTTATTGGGTTAGGACACCACACTACCCAGATCATAGCATTTGGTTGACCCACTACTCAAACCTGTCTTCCAGCACTCAAACAGGTATACATACAACAAATACTACAACATTGTCTTGGGATTCCAGGAGAAGAACCAGGGTGGAGCCAAGAGAAGATCTGAAAAGATCACATCAATTAAAAGTGACATGGAACTATCTTACCTGGTGGCTCTAATTCCATTTCTGACCCTCCCTAGCCCGGGGACAATCTCTAAGGGAAATGTCACCAGGCAGGTCAGCATGAAAACTGAAATTCATTATTTCGATGTGTTTTTTCCAAGAGAACCATGTAAACTCACCCTAGTGAAGGGTGTCCTTTGAAACGACAGCTTTCCCAGCTGTCATAATTCTGGTGATAAAGCAGCTAACCAGCACATTCTGTCTTAGGGCGGTCTCAGTGGGGTTTGCAGATAGCTACCTCTCCCATATTGCAGAGGTATTTCTAAGCTGAGTCATTAAGTTGGATGAGCAAAGGGAAGGGCTTGTCATCGTTGTTGTTTTCAGATTGTTGATGTATATTTTTTTCTATGATCTTATTTACAGAGTTTATTTCTCAGGGTAAGCTACCAGAAGGTCCCTTGCTCCATGCCTCCTTACTCCCTACGTCCAATGCATCGGAGGTCTCTGGCCTTAGCAGGGGCTATCTAGGGGGCCACATAAGATTGATATATGGGGCTGTGCCCCAAGCCCATGACTCAGACCCCCTGCTCCTGGACATCTGACCTCTTGAGCCCAGAGCTATTGGACCTGTGTTCCTTAGAGTCTAATCCTCTCATCCCTTTGTCTGACCTTCAAGATTCTGGCCTCTATGTAGGTGATGTCCTCCAGCTTCTTCTTCCTTCATTAATTTTCCTGGACCTCTGGACCCCTCCCAGGTAGCTCGTCTGCCAGTTTAACCCCCTCTGGCCTGTGCTGGCCCCCCACGTCCATGGTCTACTTTAGGAATCCTGCTGTTTCTGAAGCAATGTCTCCCCAGAGGGTAGCTTTTCTGACCTGGCCTGTGTATTTTGTACATCTTTGTAGTCTAGTCAGTTCACCCATGGAGGAATCCCTCTTGGCTCCCAAGAGATATTGCGGAAGGGGGTGGGAGGTCACAGCAAGCCTGGCCACACATACCAGGAGATCCCAGGCCTTCACTCTCCATGAGAAAAAGCAAGGGGTCAAAGATACAATGCATCAGAATGTGGAGACTTCAGAGGCCTAAAAGAGAGGACCTTGGTGAGACTGCAGGCCCCTTCCTCTCTCCTATGGGCTTCTCTCCCACTCCAAGTGAGTGTGTCTAGGAAGGAGTATATGTCCAGTCTAACTAATTACAAAATTCAAAGTATCTGCAAAATGCCCGGAAGCCAATGTACAAAGACATCCTGAGGACTTCTATAGATATGATTCCAAAGCACCTTTTAAAGAAATAAAGAAGGACAAACAAGTGGACA